TTAAGATGAAAATGTCAATCCTTCTTGGAGTTGCCCAAATGAACCTTGGAATCATAATGAGCTTCTTTAATGCAAAATTCTTCAAAAGTGCTGTAAACATATGGTGAGTTTATTCATTTTACCTTCCCCAGCCAATACGTGCACCTTCTAGTTCGTAATACATCCTAACAAATAATATCGGTATTAGTCATAGTTAAGTGTATGATCTGACATGGTTCCAGGTTCCAGTTCGTTCCCCAAATGATATTCTTGAACTGCTTGTTTGGCTATCTCTCGGTACTTATCATCATAAAGTGGTGCACTGGTTCTCAAGCTGATTTATATCACGTAATGATCTACATGTTCCTGAGCCCTATGGAAGATTTAGGAGAGAACCAGCTTTTCCCTAACCAGAAAACAGTACAGGTTTGTATCAATATCTAAGAATGCTCATTCTCTGTATTTATATGTTCTCATCATCTCATTCATCTTCTATTTCAGCTCACTTTCCTCTTTCTGGCACTGGTATCTGTTCCGTGGATGTTGTTGCCAAAGCCGTTCATCTTGAAGAAACAACATGAAGCTGTGAGTCCATTTTCCTCGTCGCCAGTTTACTTGTGAAGCTTAAAATTGAATTTGTGCTTGACCATATCGAAAACTTGATTTTTTCTTCTTTTTTTTCCTTCAGAGACATCAAGGCCAGTCATACGCACAGCTTGATGAGACAGATGAGAGTCTTCAAGTAGAGACAAATGGAGGATCTCATGGACACGAAGAGTTTGAATTCAGCGAAATCTTTGTGCACCAGCTCATTCACACTATTGAGTTTGTGCTCGGAGCTGTTTCCAACACTGCTTCTTATCTTCGTCTCTGGGCCCTCAGGTACAAATTTTTGCTTTTCTCAAAGACACTAAAGACTTACTAGTTAACTAGTCAGATATAATCTAGACGCATCATGTAATAAAAGTCTTATAAACACTAGCACTGGTCACACTATCATCGGTCATATGGTTTTATATGTTGAATTTAAAGTATTGGTCTGTGACTAAAATTGTTATTTTGGTATAGACCAAAACTTGAGCATGTCATTACTAATCCAATATGTTTCACTTGTTCAGTCTTGCCCACTCAGAGTTGTCCTCAGTCTTCTATGAGAAGGTTCTTGTTATGGCATGGGGGTAAGTAAATGCAGTTACATCTTTTACTTTCTCTCCAAATATTAGTTATGCAACATTTGCTAATAACAACACAATTTCTCTTCCTCTTCCTTTTTTTTTTCCCGGCAACAGTTTCAACAATATATTCATCTTGATCGTTGGGATCCTCGTCTTCATATTTGCAACGGTGGGAGTGCTTCTGGTGATGGAGACGTTGAGCGCGTTCCTTCACGCACTGCGTCTTCACTGGGTGGAGTATCAGAACAAGTTCTACGAAGGCGATGGCTACAAGTTTGCTCCCTTCACTTTCACCCTCGACGGAAACGAAGACGAGTGAGTGTGATGATGAATATTCTTTGTGTGTGCTCTTAATATAAGGTACGTAGAGGACTCCGAGCAGTTCTCTATTTCAGTTAATTATTTATTTCTTTTTATGTAAGAAAAAACTGTGGATGGTTTCTACTTCCCATGTGTTTGTTGTGCTTGTTTGTCAAGAAACTAAATTATTAGTATATTGAGGTAATAAATAAATAAATATACTTTAAGCAAACAGAAACTATCTATCTTTCTTTTTTTTTTTTTTTTGTCAACTGGTTTATCTTTGTTTGGGTGTTAATGTGTTCATTCTTCTATACAACAAGCAAAGAAGATGTACATGTTTTTCACTCGGTATTGTTCAGTTGTGGAATCAAGCAACGGCCGCAAGTCCTTGCTTCTGAATGATATAAACGTCCCAGCAAGTCCATAAGAAAAGCTACTTGACGTTTTCTAAAAGCTAGACTTCTCATGTAATCCTTCATAAAGCTATAAGCCTATATATATTTTAGTAGAGTTTAGATAATCTGGTAAGCTTTTAATTTTATAACTAGGATAAGACCCGCGCCTTGCGCGGAATGAAGCTATTATTTTTATTATGTTTTGAAAAATGAAACAATAGTTCGGTTTCATTCAGATTATAGGTGCTCAATCCGGATATCGGGTTTCGGTTCGGCTCAATTTTTTGTCCGATTTTTTGGTATTTCGATCATTAAAATATAATTACTATTCTAAATCTATATGTACTACAGTTTGATTTGGTTTATATACCATCGGTTTTCGGTTTATTCAATTTTATACCAAAAAACATAATTATTTAGTTTGAGATCATATTATATATTATACAAATATATAATATGATCATATTTAGAGTCATATTGCCACATGGTCATTTATTAAAAAAATATTATATATTTAAATAAAAGAAAAAAACAAAAAGACTTCTATCATTTAATAAAATGATCAAATCTAGAATTAATATCAAAACACTAAATTTTGAAAAAAAAAAAACAGAAGCATGAAAGAAAAGTTTTTATATTCTTCCATATTTAGTGTTCATCAAACCAATATGTCTTTGATTGAACACAACTCTTATTGTTTAAAGATAAAAAAAATTGTAAAGAATTTCAACTAATTGTTGTCCATCAAATTTATAATCTTTACTTCAATTTAGTTACTGTTAAAAAAGCAAAAGATCAAAATAAGAAGTCTCAGTTGTAATAAATTGTTAGCTATTTACAAAATATAATTATAGTTCAACTCATGTAACAAATAGATATTCATGTGTCGCTATAAATATATACATATTTACATGTTTCAGTTTAATTGGTTATAAATCAACCATATCCAAATCCTATGGTTTTTATAAAATCACATCCATTCGGTTTGTAAGGTATATACCAAAACTAACCATATTATCGATTGTTAATATCTTTTAAAAATATAAAATTAAAAAAGAACTAAGATATTTAAATCATTGATAACAAAAA